CTTCTCCAGGCTAAAGAGCCCCAGCTCTCTCAGCCTTTCCTCATCAGGGAGATGCTCCAGCCCCTCCATCATCTCTGTTGCCCTACGCTGGACTCTCTCCAGCAGTTCCCTGTCTCTCTTGAACTGGGGAGCCCAGAACTGGACACAGGATTCCAGTGGTGGCCTCCCCAGTGCAGAGTAGAGGGTAAGAATGACCTCCCTACATACTTCAACCAGGCGACATGAATAACCCCGGACTCATTTTCAATTTGCACCTTGCTGAGGACAACAGAGCTACAGGGTATGCAGCACCAGGGTCACAAAGACCAATCACAAGCGTATTTCTCAGGAGAAGGACATTCCTGGGGCTTTCCATGCTCTTGGAGGAAGCCAGTCTACTGAGTACGCCGGACTGGTCCTGTCGTACTCACCCACATCACTCATTTCTGAAGATGAAGCTAAGCCTCTGCTGGCATATGACGGTCCCACATGCTGCCCATGACGGGTCCCCAGTGCCTTTGTTGAGCGTTACAGGTGCTGATGCTGTCCTTAGAGCCTCAGTTCCGGGGGGCGAGTGCCTTACGTAAGAACCACATCTCCCTTTATTTATTTCAAGTGTGCTGCTGGCCCCAGAGCCTAGGGCAGCGGCTGTGAGGAACAGCTTGAGAACATAAACTGAAAGCAATCTCAAGGCTGATACAACAAAGGAAAAATAGAAAAAAAACCCACAAAAAATGTTTTTTCAGACCTCACGCTGCTTAAGCTGATTTCACCTATCAGGAGCACACGCTTAACATCACAACATGTGTTCAAGGCAAGGCACAACTGGAATATTTTTGTAGAAAGCACAGTCAGGAAACTACAATTTCTTTCCCAGTCTCAGGTCAGATCATTATAAAAGATAACAACACAGAACAAAGAGGGCCCTTTTCTTTTTGGAGTCACAGCACCGAAGCACAGGGTTAGATGGAGCTCTTTATACAAGTTTGCCCAGCACTGTCGCGTTTCTGTGAAGTTCATTTCATCCATGAACTTTTGAAGCAAAGGGCTCAGCAACATTACAAACACCATACATCAGAACACCATCACCACCTCTTGGTCTTGAAATTCACGCTAGAGGAAGGGACACCAAACCATCACAGCATCTGAAGGGCTCACACGATAACACCACTTCCCTGTTTGAGGGAAGGTCCTCCTTCCTTGCATGGGGGGGATGCTCCAAGGGGAAATTTCACACACACACACTGCCCCACCACCTGCAAGATTACCATGAAGATGCTCAGAGGGCTGGAGCAGATCCCCTATGAAGACAGGCTGAGAGAATTGGGGTGGCTCAGCCTGGAGAAGAGAAGGCTCCGGGGAGACCTTAGAGCAGCCTTCCAATATCTGAAGGGAGCTCCAGGAGAGCTGGGGAGGGACTCTTTGTCAGGGAGTGCAGTGACAGGACAAGGGGTAATGGTTTTAAATTGGAAGAGGGGAGATTTAGATGAGATATTAGGAAGAAATTCTTTGCTGTGAGGGTGGTGAGACACTGGAAGAGGTTGCCCAGAGAAGCTGTGGCTGCCCCATCCCTGGAGGGGTTCAAGGCCAGGCTGGATGGGGCTTGGAGCAACCTGGTCTGGTGGGAGGTGTCCCTGCCCAGGGCAGGGGGGTTTGGAACTTGATGATGATCTTTAAGGTCCCTTCCAACTCTAACTATTCTGTGATTCTACCAACACTGTGAGGAACCACTCCAGCTGACTCCATTAAGGCCCAAGGTGTGTTGTTTAACCTTTCCCTCGCTCAGGAATTCGGCACATGACCTACATCAAGGCTCTACATCACTCCAGTCAGCTCAGGACTGCTTCATGCCACCATCACTTCCTCCTGGATGTGCCTGGGCACAGCCAAGCAAGATTGCTTCGCGTGAAGTTCACTCTGTGCTACCCTCCTACCGGTGACATGTTTACCAGGTTCTCTATAACACTTTGCAGCCTTGCAGTGCCAAGTCCATCCTAAATGGATGGGTCCAGATGAGCTTCAGCCCCTGCAGTGAATAGACTCCTGCAACTGTGTGCCAGGCAATCAGGGCAGCGCATCCTCACCCAAGAGATGGGCTCATCACCGAGGTCAACGATGCAGCCAAGAATAGGATCCACAAAAGCCTCAAGTACCAAAAACATTATCCATTGTGTCCCAGTAATTAAGAGGCTTTGTCCTGGAGTCTTCTGAAAGGTTTTCAATTAATTCTTCATTTTCACAAATATCTTTCCCTTATCTTGTTCCTTTCACAAGGACACAAACTGTGCAATTAAAATTAAATTAGAAGCAAGCCAGCCAGATGTATCCTAGAGCCATGGCAGTGGAAACACCTCTTTATTCTGTCACTTGCCTCATTCTGAGGTCAGGCTCGGTACAGAAGACCAAAAAAAAGACTTTGTACTGTAAAGTGTCATTTTCTGAACGTCAGCCTGTGCACCTGCAAAGTGCAAAACAGATTTGCTTATGTTTCTATACCAACTCTCTTTTTTATCTGTAGATAACTCAAAACTCAACTAGATCCAAGGACAAGAGAAACATCTCATGCACTGAACCTGTACGCACCTTCTCAAGCTACAGCATTCATTTACCTACACCGGTGCAAATTGGGGTTTATCCTATTGCAGATGTTATAGTCATGCCAGGGGGAAGAAAATACAAAATGCGTTCTCTCCTATTCAGGCAGTCACACAGAATTGCAGGGGTTGGAAGGGACCTTCAGAGATCATCTAGTCCAACCCCCCTACCAAAGCAGGGTCACCCAGAAGAGGCTGGACAGGACTTGCATCCAGGTGGGTTTGAGTATCTCCAGTGAAGGAGACTCTACACCTCCTCTGGGCAGCCTGTTCCAGGGCTCTGCCACCCTCCAAGAAAAGATTTTTTCTCATGTTGAGATGGAATTTTCTGTGTTCCAGCTTGTGTCCATTGCACCCTCGTCCTGCCAGACAGATATGTTCTAATGACTCTTAATTCCAGATGTGGGAAAGCAAAAAGATTTCCCCAATTTGAGAGTCTAGAAACAAGAAGAACAATCGTTAGTGGGTTCCACATTAAAGAACGGCTGAGTCTTTAGAATCAGGATCTCCTTGTAACAAACACAGCTCACCAGAAGAAGCTGAGAAGAGGAAAAGTGAACGCCAACCAGTAAGTTATAGGTTACAAACACTCCTATCCTGCTCCTGGTCAACACTCCTCTTGGGAGAGCTCCCTCACCAGGCAACTGCAGCCTTTCCTGGCTCCCCAGTCCAAGCTCAGTTCTATATTCACCATATGACATGCTACGTTAGCCCAGGGTTTATTCTATTCTCTCATGCTGCTGCCCTTTAAAAGCATTAGCATTTCCTACACGCATATTCCATATTGCCCTTACAAGTATCAAAACACTACGGTGAAATTTAAACTAAATATAGAGATGATATTTTTAAATAGCTCTTAGCTGCAACTCGCCAAGCTGATTCTGTTTCAATGGAAAAAGCAGGCTCCAACTTCAAGCTTCCATTGTAATTAGTGATTACAACACATTCCTCTGCCGTATCAGATTTAGCACCTCATTAATGTGTGTGGTATTTCGCTTGTACGGCACAGCTGTAGTTAAAGTTGAATTAGTGTTTCCATTATAAACCCGTGTTTTCAAAGCTTTATTGCTCAGACACATAAGATTTAGTCTGAAATGAAAATTGCCGTCGAGTGTGTCAGCCGGGAAGCAAGTTTTCTTCCTTCAAAATTTGGAAGGAACAAAACACAAAAAAAAGCAAGCCACCCTGTTTATTAATAATTCACATTTTAAAAAGCATTGTAAATACATGTTTACATGGTAGCCTGTGACAGCTCCATAGAATGTCAACGCCCACACACTCCTGGGAGATGTGTCATCTTAAAAACTGAAATAAAAGCCACATTTTTACGCCACTTGATGGGAGGCGAAGGAAAGAAAGACTTCAAAATAATATTGATGAAGGAAACTTATTAAAAAAACTCACAGTCCTTGTTTAGAAACATTAAAGTTAGGGCTCTAAATGGAGAGGGGGGTGGGTGGGAATAACTTCCAAGTACCATTTGTACTTTCAATTTTTTGCTACCTGTTGCTGGCATCAATGCATTTAGCAAGAAGCAGTCGGTCCCACTGGCTTCCTGTCACATATGGCATCCAAGCCTTTGACCGTCCATAAATCCTGGACTCTCAAAGTATGACCAGATCATTGCCCTTTGCATCAGCAGAGCTGAACCCAGTGTACGAGGCAAAACGTAGAACAGAAAACCCTCCAGAGGCTCCACGCTTTATGATTGTGCCCTTCTACAATTAGCCTTAAGACTGAAACATTGAGAAGCAGAGATTTTAAATGGGAGGCTTCTGAGGCCTCTTTCTGACTGATAATTTCAATGATTATGAGCTTATGACGTGCAAAATTACAAACAAATGTATGATGAAATTACCAAATTCTCAGTTCTCACTACCATTACCAGAATGGATGTGTTTTCGATGGCTAAGAAACATTAAAATGTTATTTTTGTAACACAGTAAAATTCCCAGTTATTTTGACTCCAGGACTCACGAGTTTACTCAAAACATAATGTTTTGAGACAAGAACAAATGCATGAAAGAACGCATAACAGCTGCCACAAGGAAACCAGGACAGGCACATCCTTCATGAGCAGAAAGGCAGTGTTGCTACTCAGAATTGCTCACATTTTGCTCTTCACTAGATTAACAAAACACTCCCAACAACAGACAGAGCGGGGAGGGTGCTTGTGTGCTTTTTTCCCCAGTGTTGCCCTTCATTTTTCAAGGGATTACTCCAGACAACGAAGATAAGGGGAGCATGGTAGCACCTGCATATCCATTTGATCAAGTTTTGGAGGTTACAAGGGTCTATCCAAAACCCTGCTGCTTTCCCACACAGATAACCCGAGAGACAGCAAATGGGTCTAACTCTGTCCCCCCAGCAATAAAAGCCTCACGAAGCTTCTATACATCACAGGTGGTATAATACTGTGATACTTACCAAGGCCCTCATGAACTCTGGACTTCTCTCGTAGCGTTTTCTTCTCCCGTGTTGCTCCAGGCAAGGGAGCCCCCCTCTCTTTTCAAAGCAGAGCTTCTTGTTGATGAAGCGGAAGAGGACCGCAGGGAGGGTAATGAAGACTCCAGACAGACAAACGCAGACAAAAACCCGAAGGCCTCAGGAGTAACTAGGAACAGAAAGTCAGAAAGAAAATATCAGAGCAAGTGGGAAAAAAAACTGCCCAGAAAAAGATGTATTTTAACCAACCACATCTGCAGCCGTGGCTCTGCTTCCCCATCCTCTCCCCAGTGAAATTCAGCAGAACTGGGACTTGCATTAAACAGATACAATTGGACTCGGTGATCTCAGAGCTCCTTTCCAGCCATGAAGATTCTGTGATCTGTGTTGGGCTGGTCTACTGAGGACATCAACAACAGGGTATATTATACACCAAACCCAGTCCTGATTAAGGTCTGAGTTTCTGTCACATGAAAACTCCAACACAGGAAAGAGCCTAACAGATTTTATTAAACTTTCGTATCCACGCAGGATTCCACCAGCTTTAAGAGGGACACTCCCAATCTCTCCTCCAACAAGGGTCCAGCCAAGAAAGGGCAGTCGGTGATAAACGATTTCTGCACAGCTCACAGTAAATTCCCAGGAGAGGCTGCAGGGAGGATGAGCTCAGATGGGGGAAGGCCCCAACACCTCCTTTACAATTTGTGGATTTTCTCTAAAACCATCATATTACACCACAACGGTACTCACTGACTTCACTACTTTTACGAAGAGCTGTTACTTCACCCTTAAGTTAAGAAATATATTACTGCACTGCGTAATTACCATTCTTTGCTGCAAAAGACCAGCCTCCAGCTCAGGTAATTCAGTTTAGCTCCCTTGGTGTCAGGTCTGGCCATGCGTAACGAGCACAGTGGTTTTGCACCAGCTGACGATCTAGCCCTATACATTGACATTCCTATGTCAAACTGTAGAGAAACAGTCTTATTTCAGTCTATCACGTTGCTGCCTGTACCACCGGCTCCGCAACAAACCGCAGGCGCCAGCAAAAAGCTTTTAAAGCCATTTCACCTCTCTCACACATATCAAAATGCCAGAACAAGGGACAGATGCTACATACGTCATCTGAGGTGGATGGCGAGGGCACACACATCTAAAACTGCAAGTGCCATCTAAAAAAAAAAAAAAAAGAAAATTGGCTTGTTATTCTGATATTTACTTCGCCAGGAAGGGGTGAAGTTCAGTTATTCAATTCAAGTCAAAGACCCCATAAAAAGGAAACAACAGCAGCATCAGTGGCACACCAGAGATGTCTGTGATTGCAGATGAGAGGAGCAGGAAGAAAGGATGCAAACAGAGCCAGCCCTGCCTGTGAAACATCCCACTGGGAGTTTACAAGACTTGACTCAGCAAAAGACTTAGGCTAGGAGGGCTACACTGACTCCAGTGACAGCCTTGACAGTGCACACAGCAGGATTATGATCCAGAGAACTAAAAAATCCTAAATTAATACAAGCCAACGTGCCTCAATTTGAAACAAAAGTCTCCGATGCAGAGAAGCAGCCTACATGCAAAAAAGACAAGTGTTCGGGGCTGAACTCAGAGAAATATGGGTTACACAAACTCCAGAGGTGGCTCTGACCTTCCTCACTCCAGCCTAAGCACGGGACAGAAACAGGCACTGAATTACAGCAGCTTAATTGACGATAAGATCAATTATACATTTCCATTGCTCTCTCCTGCACTGGCACAGTCACTTGTCTGGTGATGACTTCTGTGCTCCCCTTGTGCCACACCAACCCTAGGCAGGGTCCATGAAGACAGTGTGTCTCCCTGCCAGCACTGAAATCTGGTGTCCCAGCTTCCCTGGATAACTTGGCAGGCACATACCAGCCTTATCTTCCCCTCACACCTCAACCCAGAGCGTGGGATGCGAGAGTGGCTGAGTGGTACATCTCCTCAGGCTATTTTCAGATGGTGAAGTCACCATTAAGTGGCTGCTGGAGCCAAGTATAAATCAAAGGAGCTTGAGCATAAATCAAAGGAGCCATAACCCCAGAATATACATGACAGCCTGGCTGAGTCCCCATCGCTGACTCCTCCTTTTCTTGAGGAAAAAGGATTATGCTCTATCTTGCACAGAAGACACTTGGGATCACCACATCTCATCACACAAGTGTGTGTGTGTGTGTGCACAAGCTCACGCATGTGTGTGTGTGAAGCTGGAGTAGATACGTAGCAAAGTGACAATCGTGTTTTGAAGGCTCCGTGTGAGCAATTTCATTGCAAAGGGCGTGATGGAGCGGGGCAAGGACATCGCTGTTACTGTTTATTAAGCCTAAAAGGGCTTAATAAAATCTCAGCTCTGAGCCCAAGGAGATGCCAGGGCTTCCCCTTCTCACAGAATCACAGAATTTTCTACATTGGAAGGGACCTTAAAGATCATCTTGTCCAACTGTCAACCTAATTTTGACAAAAATAAACACCCACACAACAAACAAAAAGCAACACCACCACTAAACCATATCTCCCTCAGACAGGGCACAAGCAAGCCACCAGTATTTTTAAACACCAATTGTCCAACACGTGCTCCGATATACTACACCCCGGCCGCAGAAATCCTCCAAGCGCCCCTTTCTCCACCAGACCCGCGTGGTAACTTGGAAAATCCCAGAGAAAAAAGCAGACCCTTGACTAGACCAGGCATCCTGAAATAAAGTTTGGAGACACATCATCAGCTGCTATCCACTCATTTTAAAGGATCTTAGATGGGCACAATAGCGTTATCGCCTGTTTGTTCTGCTTTCCTGGTCAGCTACAGAGGAAGAAGGAAGCAGTAGCATAGTGGCACGGGACTTGGGAGGACATTTAGGCTTCCCCTGCTCCTTGGGGCAGAGATGTGAAAGGCACCTCCTGTCAGAGCTCACAAAAGATCCAGCAGCACTTTCTAGGAGTAAGCTTTCAAAGCCGAACCCTAACAACTATGTCCACAGAGAGGCAGAGGTTTTGGGAGCCCAGCAGCAAAGACCAGGTGCCAACAAGGGCTGAGACCCTGCACCATCCCTTCTCCTATCACCCCAGGAGCCCAGCAAAGAGGAAAAGTGCCCCAGAAAGAGACCACCACAGCTCTGGCAGGATCGGACACCTCCTACACAGAGGGTTCTCCCACAGCAAACCAGAGTCTGTCTCCTAAAGAGGCTCTGCCCAACTGCGAGGAGGCGGCTGGGACTTCTGCAGCACAAAGCTGAGGAGCATGTGCACCCTGTCCCACGGCTTTAAGCAGAAGTTTCCTCTCCTCTCCCCCACATTATCAGTGCCAGATACTAGAGGTTTGTGCCACAGCATCTCTGAGGGAGGGCTGTGATTTTGCACCTGAGCACTGTCTCACATACGTGGGTAGAAACCTTACAGTCTGTGCACCTGGCTCCAGCTGAAAGCTCATATTCCTCTGCGATGAGAGGTAAGCTAGCTCCCTGCTCCTCCACCATCAAGAAGAAAACATGCTGTACCCGCATAGGGTTATAGAATCATAGAATGGTTACAGTTGGAAGGGACCCTAAAGATCATCTAATTCCAAACTCGCTGTCAATACAGACTGGGGGATGAGGTATTAGACAGTGCAAGCCAAAAGACAGTGTTTGCCGTCCTGGCAAGTTGAGGGTACGCACAACTGCACCCACTCCTTTGTGTACACTGCTTAACAACAAACAAGAGGTGCAGCGTGAAGGGCCCCAAGCTAGGAAAGCGGAGATCAGAGATGGAAAGGAGCCCAACAAGAAGACAGCTGACAGAGGACACGGTGCACAACATGTTAGAGTGCTGTTCTGCTCTGGCCTCTCCCTCAAAGCTACCTCCACGCTACAAGATGACTTCAGGGAAGAGCCAGAAGAGAGGAGGGCAGTGCTGCCCACGCCGTTACACGCACTGAATTCGGCTGGGTATTTGGCTTGGAGCAGGTTTCACAGCAGACTTGGCACATCCAGCCAGACCAGGACCAGGAGAATGAATGGAAGAAGGCCCACAATAGATTCAATTGGAGGGTCTGCAACTAAGGAAAACTTATCCCATTCAGCTTTGCAAGGGTTAAAACTCACATGAAATCCTATTCCAGACAATAGCTCTTTTATTCCATTTGATACCAAGTTTCCTGCAAAAGAAATGTTTACTGGTACTTTTTAATTACAAAAAAACCCATAAATTGTCTGTTTTACTGTCTGTGCTAATTACGTTTCATTATATATTTGGAGTAAGCTATGATTTTCCTGCTGGTTCCCATGACATTTTTCATTATTAACCACTAATTGTCTAGCGTGCGCACTGCATTGTGAACCAAGTAGGCTGATGCGTGGGCAGAAGTTCAAGCAAAAGCTGCAAGGCAGTGGAAGTGCACGTTATTATTATTACTATTATGATGTATTAGAAAGTTTCCACCTACTTGCATACCTACATATCTTCATCCCCATCAGCAGTGTCACAGCGCAGCAAAGCACAGGAGCCCATCTGTACCAAGCCCAGAGCTTAGCAAGGCCCAGCAACAACCGAAGGAAAGACCTGGGAGTCCTGGTGGACAATCGGATGCCCATGAGCCAGCAATGGGCCGTGGTGGCCAAGAAGGCCAATGGCATCCTGGGGGGCATCAGGAAGAGTGGGACCAGCAGGTGGAGGGAGGCCATCCTGCCCCTCTGCTCTGCCCTGGGGAGGCCCCATCTGGAGCACTGGGTCCAGTTCTGGGCTCCCCAGTTCCAGAAGGACAGGGAACTGCTGAAGAGGGGACAGCAGAGGGCTACAGAGATGATGAGGGGCCTGGAGCATCTCCCTCACAAGGAGAGGCTGAGGGACTTGGGTCTTTTTAGTCTGGAGAAGAGAAGGCTGAGGGGGGATCTGATCAATGTTTATAAATACTTCAAGGGAGAGTGTCAAGAGGATGGGGCTTTTAGAGTTTAGAATTTTAGAGTGGCCATTAGGAAACAATTCTTCCCAGAAAGAGTGGCCAGACCCTGGAATAGGTTGCCCAGGGAGGGGGTTGAGTCCCCATCCCTGAATGTGTTGAAGAGTTGTTTAGATGTGGGGTTGGGAGATGTGGTGTGTGTGGGAACTTTGTAGAGTGGGGTTGATGGTTGGACTCAATGATCCCGAGGGTCTTTTCCAACCTGAATGATTCTATGATTC